CTCTTTTAAATCACTTTTCATTCCTGTGCTGGGGTTGTCCTGGCTATATAACCTCTGAGTTGCTGGCAGCATAGTCTTTTGTCCACCCAGACTCTACCCAGAACAAACCACATGGGCAATTCATTTATGAGAAAAGCTCAGCCTTCAAACACAGAGGAAAAGGATCAGACAACTTCTGGCTCCAAGCAAGGGCCTGCCAGTACTCCCTCCATGACCTTGAGAAAATAACAGAATTATAGAATTGTAAAGATTGGAAAAGATCACAGAAGATCACAGAACTCATCTGTTACCACCCCAGCCTCCCCAGTGGTAAAACAGGCTCCAATATCCTATATCAGACACCTGAGCAAACCTAATAATCTCATAATACTAATTCTGTAGTTTTACTTATTTCATAGCATCTCAGAATGGTTTGGGTTGGAAGGGACCTTAAAGATCAACTAGTTCCAACCCATCTGCCGTGGCCAGGGACACCTTTCACTAGCCCAGGTTGCTCAGAGTCCCATCCATCCTGGCCTTGAACACTTCCAGAGATGGGGCATCCACAGCTTATATGGGCAACCTGTGCCAGTGCCTCCCTATCCTCACAGTATCTATTTTCTTCCTAATAACCAATCTAAAACCACCATCCTTCAGTTAAAAGCCATTCCCATTCCTCCTTGTTCTATCACTACATGCTGTTGTCAAAAGTCCCTATCCAGCTATGTTGCAGGCCCCCATTAGGTACTAAAGGTGCTATAAAGGTGTTATATATAAAGGAAGATGCTATTAAGTCTCCTTGGAGCCTTCTCCCTCCCAGGCGGAGCAACCCCCAACTCTCTCAGCCTTTCCTTGCAGGAGAAGTGCTCCAGCCCTCTGATCATCTTGCTGGTGCCCCTTTGAACTCCTTTGAACAGGTCCATGTCCTTCCTCAGCCCACTCTCAGCACTCCCAGCTTACTAACACTTAACAACTTACTCTCCCTACAACGATGCGGCAAAAACTGACTGGAAAAAAAGGAAAAGAAAAAAAAAAAAAGAAAAAAAAAAGACATCCGATGCCTGAGCCTGAGGCTGTAACCTCTTTTCGGTGATGGGGTGCAGAGGAGGATAACCCACACTACCTCAGAGAGCTGGAAAGACGTTCCGCCCATTCCCCAGCCTCACCCTGCCTCCCCCTGACAACAAACACCTCCTCAACACGTCAAGATTCCCGCAAAAACACCCCGAGGGAGAACTGCTCTGGTGCATGCTTGAATCTCTGGCAACGAAGCGGTGTTGGGTGCAAGAGGGACGTTCGGGGCAATGAGGGATGCCTGGGGCGAGGATGGGTGCTTGGGGCAAGCAAGCTGAAGAGGAGCTTTCTCCTCAGGCCTTAAGGAAAGGAAAGAGCTTTTTTTAACAGGGAGGCAGGTGGATTTCTTTAAAAGGTAAGGGATGGATCCTGCCCGCCCTCCTCGGCGCGGCCCCCGCCGCCCCCCGGCCCTCAGGCGGCGGAGGCGCGGCCGCCGGGCTCCCCCTGGAGGCGGCGGGGGGCGGCGGCGCCGGGAGAGCGCCGCGGCTGGGGCGGCCGGGCTGCGGCCCTCGCTGGTTCGGCAGCTGGAGTAGTGGTAATAATAAAAATTAAAGCAACGAAGCCGTTGTTGTGGTTGTGGTTATTTTGCGGAATTCACCAGTACTCGTTGCATGGACAGCCCCCCTTTAAAAGTCAGAAGACTCTGGAACGGCGATAGCTGCCAGTCGGACAGGGCCCGTTGTCTCCCAGCACGGCTTTCCCACAGCAAGCTGATCAATACCGGCCTCCTGCCGGCTAACCCGGATCTGCGTGGGCTTTGCACGCCTGCGAAGTGCGGGTTTGCAGGATCGGCCGCGCTACTGTTGAAGATAATGGACGGGAAAGGCCAGCCTTCTGGTGTGGGTACCGTGGTGACTTGTCCAGCACTTGCCAACAGCGTTGACACTGCCCCTCCAGGCTCACCTCAGCCAGCAGCCTGCAAAGGAGACGTGTGCTGCGACGGAAAAAAGGGTCTGCAGTCCCTTAATTCGTGTGTTAAACGACATCATGGAGGGGCTGACCATAGGAATAGGCGACAGCTAGATGCATTGGTGGGTGGTGAAAAGGTAAAGGAAGTCTAGGCTTCATCTTAGAATGTATCTACATTATAAATAAATAAGGAGGAAAAGTTTTATTGCTTGGCACAGGCTGATGGTGAGGGTTTAGGCTGTCATAAGCCTCTGCAGTTTGCTCCAGTCCCACAGAAGCGGGACCTCCAAACATAGATCAGGGATTTCTGATTGATGAATTTCTGGTTATTAGAGAAGCCCTGGCTATTCAGGCTTTTATGAGTGGGCACTGGGTCTGGAATTAACATCAGCAGGGAGTCTGAGAGCAGTGAAACCTGTACCCCCTGCTTTTTGTCATGCTTTGGAGATGTGCTACCAAATCCTTCTCAGAGCAATGTCTGTGTTGCCTCAGTCTTCAAATCCTATTACAGGTGATTAAGATAATCTAGAGTTAACAAATTCCCAAATCACCCTACCCAAGTCCTTGTACGAAAGAAAGGGCATCATTTCCGACAGACTGGATGTGGAAAAATTAATTTCCTGGCATCCAAACATAAGAACAGCCATGCTGGTTGAGACAAGTCCATGCAGCCCAATAGCCTCTCTCAAACATAAACAACAGCTGATGCCTGGGGAACAGCATAAGAGAGGGGTAAGCACACAATGATAGTTCCCTGGCATGCTGTCCCAAACTCCAGCAAGCTGTGGCTCAGGGACTTCCCTGAGACAGATGTGGTATCTTTAAATTTAATAGCCCTTGATGGATTTTTGCTTCCATGAATTTGTGTAATTGCTTTTTGAACCCATATCAATTTTTGACATTGCAGCATCCTGTGACAATTAGTGGCACACTCCAACAAAGCACGGTTTAAAGAAGAGCCCTTATTTTGTTTGTTTTGAACAGGCCTCCTAATAATTTCATCTGATGCTCCTAGTTCTTGTGGTATGAGAGTCAATTACAATCATTCCCTATTTGCCTTCTTGGTGCCATTCATGATTTTACAGATTTCTCTCATGTTCTCCCTCACATTTTGATTTTTCAGATATGTATTCTTCATCTATTGTGAAATCCCAGTACAGAAGCCATGCCACAGTCTGCACCTTCCTCTGGCCCTTGTGTTACCATTTTGGAGCTAGCAGGCTGGAACAACACCATTATCAGGGTGTAGGCACATCAGATGTATTTATATCAGAATGCAGCAGTGTTTTTAGATTTGTTTCTTCTATACTAAATTTAAAATTTCATTTATTTTTTGAACGCTGCTGAGAATGGATCTGGCATTTTCATAAATATGTCTAGATTTCACAGCTCTTCAAGGATTTCTTCTCTGAGAGCTAACAGCAAGTTCAGCACCTTCAGCTCTGTATGTAAAGTCTGCTTTGCCCACTGGCATTACAGTACACATATCTATGCTGCCTTTTCTCTGTTTTATCACCCGATTGCTCAGTATCATGAGATGGTGTTTTTGTCATGTGCCATGGTTTTGCTACCGTAAATAACGTCGTATCACCCACAAGTTTGCCACCTTGCTGTTCAACCTCTTCCTAGTGTATGAGTCTGGCAGATGGGTTTGATACTTTCTTAAGATCCTGGTGATATTAGAGGGCTGCTGGAGGAGGAAGTAGTGGGCAACTATTTCTCCTCTTTCCATCAGCACAGCTTGCATCTCACCTAGATTTGGATTGAGCCAGCTGCTCCTCAGGGAGGTGCTGGCAGGCTCTTTTTGACCCTGCAGCACATTTGGAGGGATGCTGGTGCAGGCTGTCCATCGTGCGCAGGGCCAGCTGTTCAGCTGACACAACCGATTTAACGGCTGGAGACGAGGAGCCAGCCATCATCACGGGCATGGGGACAGCTGACATGGAGGTGGGGTGGCCTCAGCTGGACACGGTGATGGAGACAGGTGGGGTGGCCTGAGCAGAGTCCACGGGGCAGTGCTGGGTTGAGGGGGAACCTGCAGAGGCAGTGCCCATTCTCTGCCCACCTTGTGGTGGTGTCATCGTCGTTCCCTCCATGCAAGGTGCCAGGTATGTTTGTTATTAATAACAAGCAGGACTTTCAGAGGCAGGCCCCTGCTTCCTCGCTGCTTGTCAGTGCTGAGCACGGCCGGTCAGAGCGTGCTGTGAGCGCTGCTCGCACAGCCAGAGCTGTCCCCGGTGTGTCCCCATTCCAGCGTGTCAGCCAAGCGTTTAAGACACCTGCTTCTTTTCGCTCCTGTGCTGGCCACAGACTAATAGGGACAAACGGGAAGAGGACCTAGCAGAATGCAGAAAATAATCGTCCTGTGCCAAAAGGGAATGTATGATCAAAACTACAATGGGCAGGCAAGCAGCGAGGCAGTGACCCGAGGCAGCGCAATGTGTCAGGAAGAGAGAGCAGCAGCCCAGGGACAGCAACAGCCCAGAGCCTCAATTTGTAATGACTGTGTGGACCACATGCCAAAAAGTCTCTCCCCACCTCCTTGCTCCAGAGAGCTCTCTTAATGTTCTTAGCCACTTGGACATCACAAGAGAAAGAGCCTGCACGTTTCCAGCACACAACCAAAGGCATTTGCTTAAGCAAAGCACTGCTGTGCTTCGGCACCACCAAACCTGCCTCTGACTCGGAGTGCTCCAAACACCTGTGAGTCAGACGATGGGAAATTCTCCCTGTCTCCACAAGCACAGATGAGTTTGAACCTTCTGGGCATTTTAGCAGTTTACCATCTGCACATATAACCTTTTTTTCTGAGCACACTGAAGTCTTGTAGGAGGATGTTAAATCCAGGAACCAAAATAAGGAAACATGTTTACACCTGCTACATCTGTTCAAGAATTTCCAGCCTCTATTACACTTTTGACTTTCACATTCCCCCTCCTCCTCCTTCCTGTTTGGTCAAATGCCACCATGTTAAAAACAATCCTGTATTTTTCCCCCCAAGTCTCACAGACTTTCTATCAAATCTTGTGAAAACTTACAGCATATGAAAGAAGCTGTGAAATGGTCTAGCAACAGAAGCAAGTGCTGGCTGCAGTCTCTCTTCCTTATCCAGGATTTTCAGATACTGGGATTCACTGTGAACAAAAATGACATTAACTACATGAAATATGGTGATTTTAGTTTTTTTAAACTAGAACGAAAAACGAAGAGTCAAACTGTTTCTGATACAGATTAAATCTTCCAGGAAACCAGGTACAATTAAAAAAAAAATTAAAAAATAGATTGTGAAAAGCATTATAGCACACCAAAAAGGCAGCACAAAGAAGATCTCTGTTAGCAGATGCCCCAGTCAGTTATAACTCGTTTGCTATAGAAGACAAAACATATTAGTATCTTCTGTCAGAGGTGATCTGTTTCACTAAAAGAATTACCTGTATAATTGCACCTACTGCCAAGTCAGACCCATAGATATGCAACATTTATGAAAAGGAAAAAGATTTCTCACTTGTTGGGAGATGATGGCAAAATAATTCCACTGAGGAGCATTCAAAGGAGATTTCATAATTTTCACCAAATTTTATGTTAAGAATTTTACTGGGAATATTATAAAATATTTTGCAGTGAAGGAATTACTTTGAATAAAATTAATTCGAGAGTGTCCAGTAGCATTTTTATAACCATTCAAATTAAGGTATTGATTAAGAGGTTGAAAAATAGAGCAAGAGATACAAAAAATATTGGATAAATTCAAACATTTTTCTCTGAGTAACCTGGTTTTTCTAATGACTTTTCTCTTGGAAGATTTAAATTGGATTTGTGAATATGTGAGTTGGATTATTAATACTATGGGCAAAGGGGTGGTACTGGGAAAAATGCCCCTGTCATTTCTTAATAAAGCCCAGTTAATGTAAGACAAAAGTTTCCACGGGTCAACAGGTAACTAAGGAGAGTGCCATTTAGTGTTTGTGACATTTGGTGTTATGATAGGGGCCTCTGTTTCTTTGACTTGCTGGGGGATGCTTGTGTGAAGCATGTGCCCTAAAACAGTAAGAGAAATTAACAATATTAAGGTCAACATGGGACATATTTGGGAAGGTTTGAGGCAAGTCCTGTGGTCCTAACTCAGGCAAATTCTCACTGACAGGTCTTGGCCAATACAATCTGCAGGTGTCCACTTTCTTTCAGCATTTAGCGCAGTATTCAACCAGAAGAAAGCAGTTCAGCAATTCATTAGGATATGATCATGCCGGGCTGGTTACTAATTGTTCAAAATACCATTGGAGGCACTCCAGGATGCTGCACAGCACTCCACAGCTGGCAGCCATGGTACACAGGCGGCTATGCCACCCAAATAGAGCTGAATAGCATGAGAGCCACAGGAGGAAAGCAAAAATCCCTTGCTTCCAAGCCCATGGGAACCTTCCTGTGTTGTGAGGAGGGAGCTGCAGGTGCGGGGAGCTGCAGGCAGGATGAGTGCAATGCGCAACCCCACTGCCTCATGCCAAAGAGAAATGTTAGCGGCAAAATAATTTTACTCCTGGCTGTCAAATGGGAGCTGCGGGGTTCCTCTCCTAACAATGAAAGGCAGACTACTGTGCATTAACAGCCCTGCCGGTGCACAAAGTGGCCTAGCCTGTTATTAAACTGTACAGCTAAAGCTGTTGTTCTCCACTTAGCTGAAAGTGAGTTACCATATTGCAGGTCCCCCAAGACGTTCCCTACCCTTGACATATCCTCTCCCTCGCATGAGTGGTAATGACTGGGATCAGATCCCTTAGGCTCCTGCCTGCACTGTTTTACCTTGCTTTAGAGCAGCTTTTTTGAATAACAGAAATCTGGTCTGTCCCCTCTCCTCTTCTCTGTTCTCCCCCCTCAACTCCCCTCTTTCCTCCAGCCTTTATTCCTGAAGCTCTTCAGTGGCCATAAGGATCTTTCTCTACAACAAATACAGCTAAGATAACTTAGCTGTCCTCTAAGAAGGTTGCAGGTGGGGTTTCCCTGCACAGCATAGATTGGATTTTAAATGTATGCAAATAAGCATTTGTGTGCTCGACCCATGACACAGAAGCATTAGGATTTACTTACTGACAGTTTTTTCTTGCACTTTTGAATTTCTGTTTGCAAATTTGGCTCTGAAATCAACAGAACTGCAGTAATAACTGCAATAATAATTCTGACTTCCTGGGAATTTCACAGCCATACTGAGTAAGGACTTGAGCCTAAAAAGCTGAACAAAGGATACACAGATTTATTTTGTTATACCCACATATTTTTTAAAAGGAAAAGATTTGCTTAGTATTAATCTCACTTCCTCAGGATAGACTGGATGGCCTTCACATACAGCGCCATAACAGATAAAATCAGTCCTTTCCCTAGCAGCCTTTTTGTGTCACTGCCTGGCTTTGCATGTTGTGTATATGCATTCTTGATCTGTCGCTTTCTCCGAGGCCAGCAAAGTAAACTCATGCTCCTGACTCATAGCTCCAGATGGATTCAAGCTCAAGCACACCGTCCCCCTGGAATTTGGCATATGTAGGTTTATATGCCCTAATCAATCAGGCTGATTTCAGTTAATCCTAATCGTCCTATTAGGGTTCCCAGATAGCAACAACAGCAGCTAGAAATCCCCAAGCAGCCTAATTGACTTCATCTAATTACATTCCTTCTTGAGATTTCCATTAAACTACCCCCTGAATTCATTACTGTGGTTGGCTGTAGGTTTTTAGGGCTTCTTAAAGAACATATGCAGCTATTGGGATAGCTCAGTTCTAAGGAGCTGAAGTAGTTACTATATATAAGGGCTTGCCACCTCCACACAGCTATCTGTCAGTTGTCCTGCTCTGGCATATATCAAATGTGCCATCTAATCACTGTGGGGGATACCAGTTTTGACTCCTAGCACTTGGGCTCATTTCTGTCGACAAGCCGGCCATGGTTCTTCCCTTGTAGTGCTGAACGAACTGCACGAGTCAAGAGACTGCCAGCTCCCATTAACCTCTTGCATAAAGGATTTATAGATATGTCTCATTATAAAGTAAGGAGCTGACATTCATCTCAAAAGCAGTTAGCTTTGGAAAAGAATGCTCTTTTGTCAGTATTCACCTTCCTCTGTGCTTCTTCTGTGGTAGTAAATTGTAAACTGCTCAGTCGAGATGGCATCTGTCATGGTTAGGTTTCTTCGGCTAATTTGATAACTTCTTCCATTAAAGTAATGCTTTGGCTTCCCAAATGTATCTAAGCTCTGAATTCCTGCCTTTTGCAGAATACTACAGTGCAGCCCTGGAAAAAAAAACAAAAAACAAAAACCAGCCATTTCTACCCTCAGCATTTCAAAAGTGGAAATTTCTGGGGTAAGGGTGAAATTGTTTGATCCCAGTCTGGTTTCTTCTGTACATGCAACTGAGATCACCTTCCATGAAACCCAGGAGGGCTGGAAGAAAAAGGTCCTTTTCATAGGCAGTTTTGTATACAGTAGGCATGCATATCAATGCTTTGACTGGAGTTCACTTAAAAATGAAAACAAAGCACACACTAGACGCTGGGAGATAGGCACTTTGACAAGTGTCATGTTGGAAAATGCCTTATAAGTGAGACAAGCCTTTGTCTTCAGTCTGTTTGGAAACTGATGCCACTGATCACTTTTACGGACAGTTCCTCTAGGTGGGAATGACACAGATATCATTCACACAGAAACTGCCAGATTGATGTCAGTAGGACAGCAGAGTGTTCAGGTTCATTGGAAGGAATACAATACCTTTGATAAAATAAAATCCTTGACTGCGCACAGAGGGAGCAGGTCGAAAAGGAACGTACCCCTGCCAAATGTTTACTCTTGCATCTCTGCCTCTTGGAGGGTGTGTTCTCTTTCGAGGCAGAGCCAAGGACAGCCAGGAAGTTCTGTGGGAATAACACCTGATTGTGGCAGGGGAACAACTCTGTAATTAAGTCAAAAACAATGTTGCGGTGATTTTAACTAAGTTTAGACCTTTGCAAATCACAGAATCATAACTTTTTTTTAAGGCAAGATAATATTTTACAAAAATATTAACCTTTATTCTAGATTAATGGTTGCTTGTCTGTAGAGACCACCGGTGAACAGAGTATCTGCCCAAGGTCAGAACTGCAGACACAATAAGTCACTAGAAAGTTTTGTGCAGAAGGATTTGTCCTAAACAGATATTTATAAGAGCTGGCTAAGGTTGCTAACTACTCCTCAGAATAACTTTGAACTGACATTTTTCGAATAATTTTCATTCCAGAGGGATTAGTAAATCTTTTTAGTAGAAGGAACACACACCAAAACTTATAAAATGCATTTACAAAAAAATTCTGAAATAATTAAGTGCCAGTTTTGGACCACTTTTCTCCCTTTTCTTATTCTTTTTTGGCACTAACATGCAAAAGGAAGCTTGGGAGGGGAAGTGTGGGAGGAAAACAAAAACCAAGGAGAATACAAACTAGAACTGAAGAGACTTTAAGGGCTTTCTTAGAGTTGGAGACATTGGTGACTTTATAAGAGATGCAGACACTCTGTACTTCTTAGGCACTGGGAGAAGCAAAGGCCTAATTCCTCCACACTCAGCAGAGGCAATGGTTGAAAATCCCTCTGCTGTTTCACAGGCAGTATTGAAACACAGGCAGTGTTTCTACCAGTGCAGTACATGCTCCCGTGCAACTCAACCTTATGTGAACAGCTCGACTCCTTACTTTAAATATTATGCTCTCCAGATTATTTATGCAACAGACATAGAGGAAGATCTAGGTAATTTTTGGGGTGTAAGTTTTAGACCTTTTGGGAAAGCACACCTTTCCTGTGCAGTTCACTTTAAAATAGTAAACATTTTTACTTCAGCCCAGAAAAATCTGGGCTGACATGTTTTTCCCACTGATACACAGTGCTCCACATCCCAAACTTCTTATTTGCCATCAAAGTATATGATCTAACCAATTCTTTTGTCCCTCCTTCTAAAATACAGAACCATACAGGGGCATGGAAAATAGCCAGATTTTAAAAAAATCTCTTGAAATTATGAAGAGTAGAAATGCACTATGTTCAGCTAACACTTCTTTTGAAGCAGACACTGATGTATTCATAAGTGAGTATTTCCATCTGTCTTTGTGGGTACGGACAGGTATGTGCACAGGCAAAGTGTGGTTCTGCAGTGAGGTTGTTTTAGTGGTGCTGGAGGCACACGAAGAACCATAAACAGAGGAAAGTTTCTAATTGCTTTCTCTTGGGAAGACGTTTCTGAAAAAGTGGGACTCAATAGGGCTAAAAGTTCATCACTGTTTCTGGAGGTTTTTTTTAAAGTATGTGTTATTTGTGGTCTGCTGGGCATAGCTTTGGGGGCCCAAAGCTGCATAAGGCAGAAGTGCCTAGATGCATCAGAAAGCCTCCAGATTACATGTCATCCACAGTACCTCCTGCTGGCACTAGGACAAGTTCTTCACCTGTTTCTGGTTCACCACTCACAGCTGTGCCTACGCTCACAAACACCACAAAGCTGCCGACCTACGTGTAGGGAACAGCTGGCTCCCCAGGAAGCCCACAGAAGTCAAGGGGAGGACAACATTAGTGAATGACAGACTATGGGGAGGTCCCCAAAGTGCACTTTTGTTCATCTAGTCAGTCATCAATTTCACCAGCTCAGCGTGTTGGCTGGCAGCTCCTTGAGGTTTGCAGAAAACACTAGGGCACGTTGATGTTTTCTGTTGCACCAACTGGAACAAGAACTGGAAGGGGTGATGTTGCTGGTTTCATGGACACATTACAGCCTTCCTCCCCTTATAAACACAGGGGCTGCATTGTTTACTCAATGCATGTCACAGTCTGAGGGGGCTAAGGGACAGGGGAGAAGCCAGTGTGTTTTGGCAGAGGGTGGTAAGCAGTAACGCCTCATGCAGTTGATGGTGGATGCTCAGTGTGATATTGGGATCAGGTGTGGTTCTGCTGAGGGGCCAGATCTGGGGGGGACACAAATCCTCAGTGCTGTTAGATAATGGTGCTTTGACCAGCTGACCAAACACCCTCAGGTAAAAAATAATCTTAGCATTTGTTTCCCTGCACTGGGACTGCCTGTACAGCAAATACCCTGTGTGGGTGATAAAGGTGGATCCTACATTGTCACTTCCTTTGCCTGTCATATATTTTCTTTAGTGAGACAAGCAGGATGAGAGAAAAATCTGTTGCTGCAACGTGAGCTCAGGCAAAAGCTGATCTCATTTTGAGAAAGTATTAGCTTCTTAATTTGTGCTATTGAAATTGTTCTGTGGACTTCCATTTGGTTGGGAAAGGAACTCCAAAGTACAACAACTGCCGTGCAGGGGAGGCTGCAGATGGCTCAGTAGTAACACACATACTGTACACCTGCACAGGTTTGGCACAGAAGGGTTTGAGTGCAGATTTGTGAGCTAGCCAAGGAAAGACAGATTTATTTTTTTGAGGAGGCAGGAAGATCAGATCACCTCCAGGTGCTACCCTGATAAACACTGAGAATAACTCACCAGTCCTCTACAGTTCTTCTATGATCAACTTCATCCTTGAGATAGGAATTAGAGAGATAGATATATTATCTGGGAAGTTGTCCAGATTCATTTCCGAGGGAGTTGAATTCCCAACACAAGCCTGCTATAAGGAAGGTTGTTTGGATTTTGTGGGGATTTTTTCTGCTTCGTTTGTTTAGGGGGAGGGTGGTGTTGATTGTAAGAGTGTTGTAGGCAATTGGGACATTAGACACAGTGCAAGATCCCCCAGTTCTTCCGTGGCAGAGAGGTTTTGGGGACCTTTTAAGGAGAGGCAAACCACTCTTGCATTTTGCTTTTTAGATTTGCTTTTCAAATTAAAACTCAAAGACATTTTGTAAAATAACCAAACACTGAGCCCCCTCTATAGCATCCAGAAGAGAAAGAGACCTCCTCCAGAAATCTATCTCAGTTAGGGAAGAAGCTCTGAGGGGGTTTTCCACTTGCTCCAGGAGGTTTTGTGTTCAGCCTGTGCTACACAAGTAGTGGCAGCAAGTATCCTACAGCTCCTGCCCAGACCCCAGCAGTCAGCAGCAGAAAATAGGAGGTGAGCAAGAACGGGGTTTAATGCCCATCCACATTTCCCCATGCCATGTACCTGTAGGATGCCACACAGCCCACAGTCCTACCTACCTAGCTGTGCCTTTTAAGTCAGGTTATAACCTGGCTTCCTTAGGTTGGACATATCCCTGCAGGAGGCAGGCATCATGTCATACAGGCCCTGAGCTGCATTGCTTGAAGCAAGTGCTGCTACATGGGGCTGTGTTGTACCACCTGCATGTGCCATTCTTAAAACATCCTGGGGTCTCTGCCCTATAAAATAGAAAGGTCTTAAAAGAAATGCATGCAGAAGGAGAAAGCTAAGAAGTGCTCATTGCTGGTCCTGTTGTTTCAGCTAAAGCCCTCAAGGGTAAAGCAAAGTCCTTTCTTTACAAGGTGGCCACAGCAGTTCAATCTAAGTTCATTTTTAAACTAGTGATTAAACTGGTGTAAAGCACAATGTGTTCACTCTCAGTTCAGTTCAACACTGGCTGACAGTAATGACACCTTGCATTGATTCTTTTCTGTCTAATCTAAATTGATATAAGCCTGATTTCAAATGAACTAATCTGTAAGAGTATTATTCACTCTTTAAGTTGATGAATTTAAAAGACAAACCTTTGACCAAAACGCTGAAGGTTTGTCACAAAGGCAAAACTCACAACTCAGTACTGGTTTTGACAGTTCTCTCATTAACCTTCACTACAGACAGCTGAGGATAGTTATTTGGGAAGCTGAGTGGTTAATACTTTGCCTAAGTAAATATACAGTACAAACTACCTAGGAAGACGTACTTATTTTGTGTAGTAAGAATGACAAATAATGGACCAGACAATTCATTGAGATTACTTTCATCATTCTAAGTAAGCTTCTCTATAGAGAAAACTAACACCAGAGTAAACCTAATGCTACATGAAAAGGCAAAGATGTTACTTCTGTCCACATTTTTTTCATGTTCTTAAACTCTTCAGGTCTGGCCCTCATCAGAAGCAAGGTGCTGAGCAGGATGGACTGTTGATCTCATGCAGCACTGCCCTATGTCTGGGGCTGTGAGGACTTGGCAGTGTTGAACCGCACAAGCAGAACTAGAGGAGAGAAGGAGAAAACAAGCAAAGAGGAAATAGAAACATAGACAATCAAGGAGGTGAACTGCAGAGAAAGTCTTCTCAAGGGTTTCATTGGTAGCTGATGTGCTTTGCCTTGGGAGAAGTTGGGAAATAACAA